ATATGTGGTGCGACCATGCTTGAACCCTGTGCACATTTCTGGTTGTCTCAACTCTAAAAGGCCATGGTATGGGGAAAGACAATATGGAGAACTTTTTATTCCCCTCTCATAATATTATAACTTGGGGGTGTCTAATAAAACTGAACAGTGAGAGATTCAGGAGGGCAAGGGGGGAACTATCTGCTTTCTCCATGCATAATTTTATAACCCACCCCTGATTTATATCCTGGGGTCAACAGAACTTAGCCAGCCTGGGAAGCCAGCCAAAACATGTGCTCAACTCCTGCCCACTCCTGCAGAGGGAAGGGGCAGGGTCCTCTGGCATTATGCTGAGCTCAAGGCCCAATGTTACTGGGGTGGGCATGGCAGAGGGTAAACCCCTGACCACCTCCGCAGGAAAGCAGAGGCATGGGAGCCCATCCCCATTGCACTAAGCCTCAACCATTCAGAAATCATCAAGAAGTTTCTTAAGTTTCCAATGCTGCATTCAGACATGGGTGTATATTTGAAGGGAAAAATGGTGCAAGCAGATTTCCACACTATCTGAGACAGAGGGAGAGGAGCTTGTGCAAAGAATTAATGCAGCTGCAATTGCATTGCTTTTTTTCTGGTGGGACGCTGGGGTATGCATACCCCTAAACATTTTGTGAATCTAAGTTTGGCCTCATTGGGGGGCAGTATTTCAATATGAGTAGGAAAATGACAGTACCCCTAAACATTTCTTAAGAAAAAAATGTATGTATGTATGCATGTATGTAAAAAAGCAAATGCTTCCACCTCATTAAAATGTATGAACTTCTCTGTGCTGAATTGCTGCACTGTTCCAGTAAAACCTCGTTTGTTGCGTTAAAAAGGAAGGAAGCAATACAAGCATGCGCACAGACACAGGCCTTAAATATAAATAGGTTTCAATATGTTGAACAGTCACAATGGATTTAGAATCACTATGGTAGGCAGATGGGTCAGTTTTCTACTTTCTGCCCACTCTCTCAGTACAGGGTGAATTCATTGCTGGTTTGGATCTTTGTGCATGGACCTTGATGTACAGGCCGGAGATGCTAAACACATGGGCTTCATTCACCATTTTGTACCCACTTGAAGTCTTTTTGAAAATGTTCCCATGGGTACAAACAAATAGGGACATTTTATCTGAATGAATCTCCTTGCCCAAAGCAAGATGGATCACCACCAAATAAAGACAGGCAGGGGCTATTTCATGAGAAGAAGGGTGTGAAAAGAGGTCGTACTGAACTTTTACAATTCCTATCCTAGCTCTTTCTCCTCAAGCGTTTCCCCTCAGATTGCTTTTTACCAAAATGGGATCTGCTGGGGTGTGTGTGTGTGGAAAGGCTCAGGGGAAGGTTGGGGGTGGGATACTAGTACAGGCATTAAGGTAAAAGGTAAAGGTAAAGGACCCCTGGATGGTTAAGTCCAGTCAAAGGTGACTATGGGGTGCAGTGCTCTTCTCGCTTTCAGGCTGAGGGAGGTGGTTTATGTCCACAAACAGCTTTCCAGGTCATGTGGCCAGCATGACTAAACCGCTTCTGGCGCAATGGGACACCGTGACGGAAACCAGAGCGCAAGGAAACAGTTTACCTTCCCATCGCGGTGGTACCTATTTATCGCATCCCTAGTACAGGAAGTATTGCCCTTCTTGTCCACCACTTCCCCCCTTTAAAGCACCCCGGCTCATATTCCCTTAACACCAGTTCTGCATGACCTATGTTCTAACATGGGTTATGGATGAAACTCTTATACACTGATACATTGCAGAGATGTGAAGTCTTTGGCTTGGACCCTCAGTTGATCCTTCACTCACTCACTCACTCACTCACTCAAAGATGGGTCAGTTTTCTACTTTCTGCCCTCTCTCTCCTACAACTGCCTACCACTCGATATTTCCCATACCATTCCCAAGGGCCACCCAGTTTCCAGGAGCAGATTTTGGGGTAGGGTGGGGTAAAATGAGTCCGCAAAGGGAGGAGGCAGCGGCAGGAAAGGCATCTCCCATGAAAGTGTCCCACTCACTGAAAGAAAGGCTGGACCCAAGCCATTGTTTTTAATGCAAGAACTTGTGCAGTCCTGCACAGAAGTGAATTCCAGGCCATCCTAGCTTCCACCGAAGCATTATCTTAAACTATTCCTGTTTTGCACAACTATTCAGAAGTGCTAGAGTAATGCCAATGTGTTCCCCGAAAGTCTAGAAGCAGCCATTCTGAGAAAGTTTGTGTGTGTGTGTGTGTGTGTGTAAAAATATCACCCACCGCCTTCACTGGCCACTGCAAAAGAAAAGTAAAGAGGAGTTTTGCTCTTACTGGCTGGTGACTCGTAGCCTGATGCTGCTTTGGTTGGAATCCTGTTATTTTATTATCACCATATTTACAACTACCCAGGGAAAGTGCTATCACAGCTTTGTGGCTTTCACAAGCAGCTGTCCTACTGTGCCCCTGCAGCCAGTAAGCCAACGCCAACCCTAAGTGCTAGGCTTTTTACAGCAATTCCACATCTAACCTGAGAGATATGGAGCATGTTGAGTCATGCATTGAGCTAAAGAGATATTAGCTAATTGAAACGGTACCACCTGAGCTCTGAGTGGTAGCCATTACAATTGCTCTCGGCTCTCCCCTCTCCCTTTCTCCCTCATCTGTCTGTTCCATCTTCGGCTCTTTTTTGTTGTTGCTCTCGGCTCCTCCCAAATCCATATATTTTGCCTCTTTTCATGCCAAAAAAGCACCGTCTGGTTTCTAACAGCTCCTGAACGATTAAAGCCAAACCAACAACAAAGCAAAGGTGTCATGAAGACCTATTATTTGTGCCTTGCATGGTGCTCTTTCCCTCGGTTCACAGCCCCACCTCTATGCAGGTATCTCCCCCTCTCCTTCCTCACAGTGGAATAAGGGGGCTAATGACCTCCACCAGCTGAGCTACCTGAAGTGGTGCACAGCCAGAAAGGGTTATTTCTCTCTCTCTCTCTCTTTCTCTCTCTCTCTCCCCTCCCCACCCTCTGCCTAAGAAGCAGTTTTCTCTCACAGAGCAATTACCACGAATGATTTATGTGACCAGTCAAGAAGGCCTGGCAAGGTTCTTATTTCATCTATGAAAGAAAGAAAGGAAGGAAGAAGAAGGGAGGAAAAAGGAACTCTGCTGGAATTTTATCAGGGAGCTCAGATTAAATTGACAGCTGCCTTTGGTTTTGTTCTTGGAAGACCTTCTCTTTTGGAGGTATGCAGTCTGTTTGGAAATGGGAAAAGAACAAGGAGTTTACTTCTTTTAAAATGAAAACACCCCTTTCCAAAAGAGAGAGAGAAATCTATCATTCTTCCTTGACTTTTTTCCCCACACATGTTTTAAGGGGAGCTGTTTTTTAAAAAGCCGACAACTGAGAACGATCCTGGAGCCCACCAGCCCGAAAGAACATTTTCTTTCACTCGACTGGAGCCACCAAGGCAACAGCTTTGACTCTCTGGTACCAGTAGTGTCGGTTAAGGGCCGGGGGAAGGAGAATGATGCAGCCTCTGTCTGGGCGAGAGAACAATCCCTGAATTCAGTTTGAAAACGCAACTTCAGACCACCACACAAGGAGAGAGGCAGACAGACTCCGCCACAGAGACAAACAGGAGCAGGAACGCAGAGAGACAGATAGGCTGAACACACACAGCCTCGCTTTGAGGCACTCAAAACCCTGCCTACAGAGATACACAAAGGCAGAAACGGCTAGGCAGAAATCCAAACACAGAGAGGGATAGAGAGAAGTCAGCGTTGTTGTACTAGCCCGAAATGTGCCAACAGGCTTCTCACACACACACAGCCAAAACCTACTTCCAACCTTCCTTACACACACACACACACACACACACACACACACATGGAAAAGGAATCCAAAGCACCATTTATACAGCCAGACACTACAGGTGCTATGCCACCTTTGAGACTTCTTCTGCACTGGGGGCAGGTTTATGCCCTCTAATTTTGATTTTCTTTGGCAACATATGGGGGGTTACAGAATTTCCCAGATTGATCCTACTAGAAATTTATAAATCACTACTGAAGAAAAATATAATGCCACTGCTATTCGCCCACCATTAGTGGTCTTTAATTATGCAGCAGTGGCGTAAGCAAGTACCCATTTTTAAAGGTTTTGTCTTTTTACTCAGAACTAGGTGTGTGTGTGTAAGGGGGTGTCATTCAGTTTGCATTTTCATATGAACATACTTAATTTGCACTTCCTCAACTGATAGGGCAAATGAAACACAAATTACCCTTCAATACACAAACTTCTCCAAAGTTTTCCAACCAAGAAGTGTGCTTAAAAAAAATAAGCACATATTAGTGAAAACAATATACAAAGCTACAATATACAAAGGTACCTCAGGTTAAGTACTTAATTTGTTCCGGAGGCCCGTTCTTAACCTGAAACTGTTCTTCACCTGAAGCACCACTTTAGCTAATGGGGCCTCCCGCTGCCACTGCCGCGCGATTTCTGTTCTCATCCTGAAGCAAAGTTCTTAACCCGAGGTAATATTTCTGGGTTAGTGGAGTCTGTAACCTGAAGCATATGTAACCTGAAGCGTATGTAACCCGAGGTACCACTGTAATGACAATCCTTGAACAAATGCATATATTAGGCATTCTGTACAAAAAATGTATATATTGGGAGAAATTCATATGCATTTCAATGCAAATTTCTTTCAGAAAAAGACCCCCAGATTGATGTAGCAAATGGGGCAAACTGAACTTAAGATGAGTAACTGAGAGAAACCTCAACTGACAGGTTTGTACATCCCTGCTAAAAACTCAGAGGTTATCTATTTTAGAAGGGCAGCAATGCTTTGGAAGGGAAGAAGTTCCTTATCTAGTAGACAGTTAGGTTTAGCTAAAGTTAATACCTCTTTGTGTGTTAGATGGAGAGGACCATCAGAACGGTGTAGAAGCAGTGGCGGTGCTTACTTCTCACTCTTCCCCACTACTCAACTTTTATTTTTATATAAAAAAAACCTTTTATGGTACAACATGTCCCCCATATACTGCTTCCAACTGTGCAGGCACAGCATAGCCATAATGGTTCCCAGGCTGTCTCTCATCTAGACACAGATCAGGCCTGCTTAGAAAATACGTTATGTACAAACACAATTGCATTTCAAGGAGCCAATTAGAATGGTGGTTCCTTGTTGTAGAGTACTGCCCAAATTATTCTATGAATTCTGAATTCATCCAGAATTCAGAACCACTTCATAATCACTTAAAATAGAAACTGTATTCTGTATTATTGCAATAAGCTATGTGAGTAGGTGATGATCTCTAGCCGCCCCCACAAAAAAAGGTTACAGATAGGGAATGGTAGCTATGGGATAATGCCTTGTCGAAGGTCTATACAGTATAGCTAAGAAAGGTTCATATTCACAACTAATTCAGTAGATCACACTGACTGCCATCAAAGCAGAATTATGATCTCTCTTTCATAATGCCAAAAGATCAGGGTAATCAAATCACGAACCTCCCAGGACCACAGGTACTAAACCTTAACGGGAAGGTTAATTCGTTCCACAATCAACAGCATGTATGACAACAAAATGCTCTATACAGTCATGGCTTCTTGCTGTTGGTCTTCAAGGCTTGAAAAGTTTAAATTCCTTAATGCTGGTAACCATATTTAGCAGCTAGCACTGTGTTTTAAGGCAATAGCTGGGGAAAGAAAACCCAACAGGTCAGACATTTGCAATATTTTCAATACTGTAAATATTAGTAATCATTTATGAATCATACTTTTCCTATTCATTGTTCTTATGAAAAGGTTCAAGTATTCTTGTTTTATTGGTGAGGAATTGAAGTTGACAGTGGCAGCCACCTACTAAGTCCATGGTTCAACAGCCAAATAAAACAGGACCCTAACCCAGATTTTAGGAAAACAGGTAACAGCAAAGAGCAAAATGTTAGAAACAGATTGTTATTAAATGGATGGTTAGAACAACTCTCATCCTTTGGGAGGGGGCTGTGTTACATTTGTGATCCCCTTCCCCCCTTTCTAATCCTTAAAAAGGAGCCAAGATGTAAGGCCCAGAAAGTGTGAGTCATACAGCAGGAAAATCAGTTGGGGGAGGAGGAGGAGATCTAGATAAAAATAGAGAGACATGTTGATTGCATTGTTACTGCTTCAATTAAACTCAGACGCACCAGCTTGATGAGTCATCAGCAATGACAAGGGGGCACTGAAAACAAGAGACTGAAACATATAACCAGTTGCCAACCCCATTAAATCTAGAGACAGAGGGGGAAGCCAGCAGTAAACTCCCAAGTCAGTAGGCTACAGTCAGATGAGAAAAAGTCAGAGATCTGATGTGATCCCAGAGCCCATGTTTTCAAACAAGGGAAAACAAAGGGGGTGGGGAGAGCAAAGGGTAAGGATGGCACTGAAAGACCTACTGCCTTTCTTTAAGAACAAACATTTTGAGAACCATTGATAAATCACCGATAATGCTTAACACACCAAATGGAATTCAAGGGAATCTAATCATAACTTGTTAAAGAGGTGAAAAGGACAATTAATGAAATCAATGGAGGTTGTGAGTGCACAGCTGGCTTCAGTGTAATGCACCTCTAAGGCCTGAAGGAGAAAGTCCAAGCACAAAGAACAGTTTGCAAGAAATTGGGGTATGAACTACAAATCTGTATTTGGATATACAGTGCAAAGGCCCATGGATTTTTATATTCTTAAAAAGGCAAAAAGTAGCAAGCGAGGAAGTGCAGTTTAAACATCCAGGCAAATATTCCAAAGAATACATTTTGCTGGCAAATAAGTAAGCATGAAAAACGGAGGCTCAGGTAAGTCTTAACCACAGCAAAATTTGCCAGGTCTCCAAATTCACCAGAGAGTAAATAAAACCCTGAGGAAGGCAGCATAATCTGCAACCAGAATAACAGATTGAGGCTGCACTGCAGTCCACAAGATTGGTTCTCTTGATATATGGTAGCAGCTTTGTAACAAGATTTAACATAAATAAAAACCTATTTTGTAGGGTACCGCATCTTGAGTCTCAAAGCCCTCCAGCCAGCCCACAAAAACAAACAGCAGAAACCAAAGGATGCTCAGGGTTTAGACCAGCAGAAGAGTAAATAGGTTATTGGACACAATGACTCATAAACAACAACAAACGCGAGTGGTGCAGAATTCGGGAGAAAATCATCTTACAAGCAGACTATGGAGTCTGCTCATTCCATCAAAACCATTGTACAATGCCTCCCAGATGGAGAAACACTGACTGGAATAATGTATGTTTCAAGCCCCCTATAGATATACTAGCAGCACAGAGACTTCTACAATTGCAGCAGCATATATTTCAGCTCAGGAATAATTTCTGAATAGGTGTGGCTGGACCTATTAATCATTTCCTGGGGACAGTTGGAGACATTACAAAGAGGAGGGGCTGTAGCTTAATGGCAGAGCCCACCCTTGATGTGAAAGAAGGTCACAGGATCAAACCTTGGCATTTTCTGAGGGGAAGTACCACTTTCCGTCGAAAGATTTTGGAAAGCTGCCAGCTAATACTGAGATGGACCAATAGTGACCCGCTTATAAGGCGACTTCCTGTGAAGCAAGGCTCTGGTTGTGAGTGTATACTAGTGAGTACAAATGTACATAATTTGAGTTGTGAAGCTGCACTCACCACATCTGGTTCAAAAGCACATTTTTTCTTTCCAGGGCTGAGCTTGGAGGAAAACAGTTCTGCAAGTTTGCAGCAGAAGTGGGCTGTGCACAGTATTGTTTGGATGCAACCAGTGTAGTCACAGGAAACACCTCCTCTCCTCTCTAGAGAAGGTTTTCAACCATGTTAAGATTGTGTTCTGGTTGGTTTTTTATATGAAGAGCTAATACACAGCACTGCCCCAGAGGAGAAAAGCAAGAAAAGACTGCTTCTTTTCCTCCTTGTTCTTGTCACCACTGCTCACTTGTTTGGAGACAGCAGCAACATTAAGGGGAAACAGTAGGGCTAGGGGGCTCTCAGTAAGGGGCCCCTGCGCAGGACAATGCCTGACACCAGAATTAGCAGCAATGCAGTTTAAGTGTTTCATATAAATATAAAGCAAGAAGAACAATTTATGAGATGTATGAATGCTCAAAGGTAAAGGGACCCCTGACCATTAGGTCCAGTCATGGCTGACTCTGGGGTTGCGGCGCTCATCTCGCTTTATTGGCCGAAGGAGCCAGCGTTCAGCTTCCAGGTCATGTGGCCAGCATGACTAAGCCGCTTCTGGCGAACCAGAGCAGCGCACGGAAACGCCGTTTACCTTCCCGCTGGAGTGGTACCTATTTAACTACTTGCACTTTGACGTGTTTTCGAACTGCTAGGTTGGCAGGAGCAGGGACTGAGCAACGGGAGCTCACCCCGTCGTGGGGATTCGAACCGCCGACCTTCTGATCGGCAAGTCCTAGGCTCTGTGGTTTAACCCAGAGAAGCAACCTAAAAGGATGTTTAGCCAGGAATTATAAAGGTCACGCCTTGCCATTTAAACCAGGGATGGGGAACTTGTGGCCCTCCGGGTGTTGTTGAACTACAACTCCCAGCATCCCTGGACAGTTGGCTATCAGGTTAGAATTGATGGGGCCTGGATACTGACAACATCTGCAGGGCCACAGTTTTCCCCCTCTTGATTTTAACTTTGCTTGCAGGCGTACCAAGATAGCACTCCTTTAGTGGGTGAAATTCTGTACAACCCTTGGGACACAGTAATCATTACCTTAGATTTGAAGTTGTTAGGAAAGGAAAAAGACTTGGCAAAGGATGAGAGCAAATGAACTTTGAAAGTCCTCAGACTCACTGTTTGCACATACACGGTTCTGTATCCAAGGTTCACAGTCTTTCTGGTAGCTATTCAACAAAACATTTACTCTGCCAATTGGGACTGCATTCATTAAACCTATGTTTAGTTTGTAAGTATCAGAGCAGGCTGTTCAAATAAATAACCTACCAAATTGTTTCCCTTCCCCCTTTTAATGCTATCTTTTGCTATTTATGATGATGTGAGACTCATTCACACTGCAAGGGTGGGAAGATGCTGTGCCACCTGTCAGGAAGAATATTTGGGAAGAGGTCCATATCCTTTGGCCCACTGCATGAGGATCATGCCATATATGGTATAGTGAGGTAATTTAAGTTATTTTGCAGCATTTGCTATGATTCCCAGCCACAATACATTTAAAGCAGTATAGTGTGGCACATCCTCTTACCTGTGGTGGGAACATAGATCCAGGCACTCATTAAAGAGCCTGTTTCCTTACAGCAGGGAGGACTAGCAATTTGCCAGTGTACAACAGTACAAAGATCTGTACAGCAGCAAGTTTGCAGCAACAATGACCTATCTCCTAAAAACCCAAGCCAAACAGTGAATACAAAACTGATTCATAGTATGTAAGTATCTTAGCAACAAGCCAGGTAAAATGCCTTTGGACCCAACTCTCTGTAAGAAGGTGTGATTTCCCTGCTCATTCTGTGTGACTTTAGGACAAATGGTTTCGAGTGCAAGCCCACTCAACATTAATTAAGATATTGGGTCCATCATGTTCAAGAGTAAAGAGCTGTCCACTCTGCTTAGCAAAAAACCCCCACAGTTTATGATGCCACAATGTAGGGCAAGGAGTGAGAGAGAAATAACCTATCATAGCAAATGAAAGTTGCAGGACATCCCTACACAGATATATGTGTTTTACCTAAACGTCAAGTACAAGTACAGTATATGGTATGCTCAGCTTGCTTATGGATCCTGAATAACAGGGCCTACTTGCCACTAGTACCTCTTTGGGACATTATACTCTACAAATCCAGGTTCAGACATAATGGATTATAATTATAAATGAGCTTCAGAGCTCTCTCCATGCTCCATGGGCTAATTTGCTCCCTCGGATCATGGTTTCCATAAACCTTTGCTTCTGTCCAGAACTGAACCATGGTTTCCAATTTAAAATTTGGAGACATGCTATATTTTCCTACTTTGGATATCAGGGCAGATTATGGCCTGCTCAGATGAGAAAAGGAAGTTGGAATTGCGGTGCATGAGGGCAAGAGAGGAGCGGGAAGCTTGCATGCCCAAACCTCATTCATGACAAAGTATTGGCGATCGTCTTTGTAGTGTGTGCCATTTCAGTCCCAAGTATGACATTCACTTCTCTCTTTTGATGTAACCACAAATTATGTAAACATGCTGGAAGCCACAACCAATCTGACAACTTTGCTAAGGGCGTATGCCATTGTATTCCATGTAAAGTCTGAAAATGACAGCACATTGGAAAGGAGATTTTGGGTGAACATATGAATGTGCTAATTCGTGTTTCTTCAGGTACAATGAGATATAAATTTAGACTTCATATTTAATATCACAGAAATTTCCTTGGTGATTTATGTATGATAATAGAGCTGGCTTACTACCATGTCACATTATGAATTCCTTGCCTTCTTAACGAGCCAGTTCACACATCACCTTTCTGGGCTATTTATTTGCTCTCTGCTAGGCAACAGACCATGGCTACAGATCATGGTTTGCTGGGAGTAGAACAAATAATGACCCCTGGTTTGGATGTCATGCTAATTCAGGGATTATGGCTTGTTCCTTCCGCATGCTAGCTGGGAGGTGCAAAACAGAAAGGTATAGTAATGGAGGAAACCATTAACTATGGTTTACCGTGACATGAATGGGGCTACTGTAAAACAAGCAGAATAACTGGAGGGTATGAGAATACTGAAGGATGTGTGAATGAAGTGAGACACCCCCATTCCAGTCCTCAGTCAGCCCTGTAGGGGTCATCTGATCAAGAACACCCCAATTAGTGAAAGGTGGCCAAGAAGGCATCCCAGAGAAGCCTCTATCCCCAACAGGTACTTCAACATCATTAGCAGTTCACTTTCTTAAACCTTCCGGCAGGCCCCTAGGCTTATCCCCTCATGCAAAGCATCTCAGCCCTCCCCCTTTGTGTCTGCTCATCAAATTAATGAAGCACATCTAGAGTGAAAGGTCTTGGAGTAGAAGAGAGCAGCTTAACAGTGATTCGACACAATCCCCTTTCCTGCCTCTGCCTCCTCCTTCTCTTTGTTATAATATAAAGAAAGCACAACTTCCTCTCTCAAATGAGGTGGGGGAAGGGTAATAAGAGGAAGCCTAGTTATTCCCTGCAGAAGGAGATGTCTGTTTACGTTCTCTGACAGATTATTTGCATATTAAAAATGCCTGGCTCCTTTGCGGCCAAGGTTTTACCAGTGCCACATTTCCAACAGAGCACAGACTATCAACTCTCAACTTCAGGTAGCTTTGACCTTCCTCTTTCAATGCTCCTTTCAGGTCAATGGAGCATGCTTGGAACCCAACCACATGCCCCCCCATACCCACACATGCAGAGAGATTCTCAAAGGTCTTTGGTGGGGGTGAGTGCAATCTGTGCTGAAAGGGACGGGTGCCTCTTGTACAGACTGCTTTGACAAAATATAGAAATGGCAACGAAGCCCCATTAGGGATTTTCCATTCACTGATATCTGGAGAGGCAATTTCGACTTTTCAGAAGAAACACATAAACATCTCTTATCACATCACTGACCTAAATATAGACAATTACTTCAAGCCAAGGAGAGACTGGAGGAAAAGTCATACTCCTCAATCTCCAAATGCGGTAGAGCTGCTCAAGCAGAGTGTGGCAAAGAGAGGCAATAGATAACCAGTCATGTGAATGGAGAAAGAGAAATTCACGTTCTAGAATGATTGTTTCTCATGGGCCATTACTCTCCTCCCAAAAAAATAAAATAAATCTATTCTCATTTGCACTAGGAGTCTTGTTCCTAGGTGAAATTAAAATGTTAAATCTGACAAAGTGTATCCTTATTTCGTATCTGCCACTCCTGATACAGATTTAGTGCGGGAGGCATATGGAAAAAATGGGGTTGAAATCCACCCCACTGCATAATTTGCTCAGAGGTTGGCCTGCAATTTTGTCCTCATTTATTGTTGCAGAAACTGTATTAAATAATGTCTCAAAAATTCAGCAACTTTCTATGAATAAAAAGCACATGGGACAAAAAAAATCCCAAATAAACAAACTGAATTTGATGTGCTTCTTTTTAACCCCAGGGAATGTTAACTTGGGGGGGGGGATCTCCTATGTGGTTCTTCAGTAATAAAGTGCTCTCCTTCAGACAATGTTCATGGCTTTGTTTGGGACAAGTGGGGTCCAGATGCTATGCTAGCTTCCAAGCAGGCAAGTCACTGCTTACTGAGTTGGAAAGAGGGAGGTGGTGGGATAAGGTGGGTGTGGTGCAAATGCAATGGCAGAAACACCAGATTGGCTCTGCTGGTGCGTTTGCACTGTGCCAGCCTCCCTGCCACCTCTCCTTCCCAGTTAGTAACAACAATCTGCCTGCTAGGAAGTTCTTGTGGCAATTCTGCCTCACCCAGCAAGCCATTTCTGATTGGAAGTTAGCTTGGGGCAGAAAAATATCTGATAATACTATCTACACCTACTTTTTTAGTTTTCTTGGCTGATTTAGGGTGGAATTCAGCACGAAGGGTGAACAAAGTCCATTCACGCAATGAGTCCTCCTCCCTTCTTCCCCCACATACTCCCTAAGCCTGTTCTGAATCCACCCCACCCCCCAAATCCTCCAGAGCAGATTTAGGGGACATGGGGGGAACAGAAGGAGAGAAAGTCCAATTGCATGAGCAGGCCTCATTTTGCGCACACAATTTACATGATACCCACACAAAGTAACATACAAAATGTGCACACTTTGCCTATTATCTAACACAGGAGGGACATAGTGATCCCTTGAAATTGACTTTCTATGCCCAGTTGTGACAGAAATCAGAACTTTTGTAATGTTTGATACCCCTATAACTAGGCTTTCCTCCAAGAAACTTAGAGCACCATTTTGACCTTGCAGCAACCTTACGATGCTAGAGTGCCAACTGGGCCTCACAACTTTGGGCGCCTGGGGTCGTGGGTGTCATGTGTGCTGAAATGTGTAGGTGCCCGGCCTCTTCATGGTGAATTTTGTGCGTGCTTGGGTACCCAGGGCCCCAGGGAGTTGGCAGCTATGTTATGACGTATGCTTGATTTGGAGAGAGTGATTTGCCCAAGAGCACCCAATGCTTTTCATAGCAGAGCAGACATCTACACCTTGGTTTTCTGCATCCAATCCCAAAATGCACACCATTGCACCACTCTGCCTCTTCTAACAGTAGTGCTGAAGGGAGCATTTTGGCAGATTTAGCTAGTCATGTCACAGTAAATCACCTGCATAATTTTCCTCTTCCTGAGAATTATTCAAAACTATCAACATTGTACCTGGTGTTGCTCAGGAATGCTAAGAAACTGTTTCTGAAAGTTCTTTTATTCTAAGCTGTCCACTTCACTGAAGGCTCCACTCCCAGGACATCATTCGGGAAAATATGGGGAAGGGCTGTAGGTCAGTGGTTGAACACCTGCTTTGCACACAGAAATCTCCAGGTAGTGCTGGGAAAAGACTCCTGGCCTGAGACCATGGACAGTCACTGCCAGTACAGAGCTAGGTGAACCCGTTGTCTGACTTGGTGTCATGTTCCCAATGAGATGTGAGCTCACACATTCCTTCCCCCTTCCTATTGCTGCTGAGAGACTTGAAGAATCAAACATGCAATTATTTGAACATGGGGGTCTCCCTAGCCTCAGGAAAATGATATCCGAAGAGGCTCCAAGAATGAGCGTCTTTAGCTATTTGTCCTGTTTGGGGAATTCAAAATCTTGCTACTTTTCTTTCAGTGTTGTAAATTAGCGCACAGAAGTCTGTAGAATTTGGGGGAGGAAAGAGTTGCTATTAAGGCCGTCCAACAAAGGGTTGAATCAATGTTTGAAGGAGAGAGGTGAAAGCACACTAGGAAACACGATCCCAAGAATAGTGGCCAATCGTGGCTCCTGGGTGACTGTTTCTCATTTTCTTGCATACCTGTCTATCCCCTTCAAATAACTGCAGAAAAGACACAATTTGCAGACCTGGTGGCAGAGAAAAGGTCTGTCATTTCTGAAACATGTGAAGTGGCCCATGCTGCATATTTCCAGAACACAATGGACAGAAACTTCTTTTCTTGAAATAAGTTGTCTAGATATACTTGGCCCATCATAAAAATTGTCCATTGTACTGTCTTCCACAATGTCATGTAATTGCTTGCTGTTAAGGGAACAACAAACCACTGCTGAATTAATGTGCCAGAGAACGCTTACTAAAATACAAATTCCCTTGTGTTTCCTAACACAAGGACCAATCCAGGGGTTTTCTTCACAACAATGTTTTCTTGGTTGCTCTGACAAAAGAAGGCAACTTGTATCAAACAGAGGTGAATTGTTTCATTAGCACCTGTTTGCGAATTCTAGGATTTTGGCAAGACAGTTGTTCCTTCGAAAAAGCAGGGAATGCAATATTGCAGGCAGCCTGCATAATAACATTTAACTGAGGTGTTAAAAATGAAGAGCATTAAAATATGTTTGTTTTTAAGGAGACAACAGAAAACAACCACATAAATTACTTTCAAATCTCAGCTGCTCGTTAATCTGAAATTGTCCCAAGGAACTGACTTGTCATGTTTATATTCTGCCTCTCTCTATACAGATTGGACCCAAGTGTGCTACCATCTCGTATAAAAATTCGTAACTTTAAACAAAGAACAGTAAAATAGTACATGATATGAACTTGTACTAACACCCTTTGTTACTCAGAATAAAAGTTTTTGCAAACCTCCTAAAACTGCTCAAAGATCAAGGCTAGTGGGTGGGGCTGCCTCCTGAGGAAGTTCCTCCCTCCTGAGGGAGGAGGCTCCACAGCAGAGGTGCTACTACAACAAAGACCCTGCTCTCTGCTAACGTACAAGGTCTCACTAGACTATCTGTGGGACAGGACACATTCTGGCTTTGCATATTCATGGCCCAAACTGTTAATGTTTTAAAGCAGGGATAGGTTCAGATGTGGCTCTTCAGGCCTCTCTCGTTGGCCCTTGAAACCTCCCCTCCACCAGCACTTCTCCATGCCCACCTCCTTGCATTTTTGCCTGGCTGGAATGTGTCCTTGAACTGTGACGTGCCTCTTGCTTGCCTGGATACAGAATGGCGAGCTGTTTGTGGTATATATGTTGCCTCTAACTTTTGTATGGCGGGTATGTAATCTATTGTACAAAGCTAGGAGTCAAATACATTGCTCTGTCCACTTTTACCTCTGGTCCCTATCCACCACTGGCACGTGGCCCCTGAAAGCTTGGCTATAAGGCAACGTGGTCCTCAGGTAGAAAAAGGTTCACCATCTTTGCTTTAAAATAAGCATCTTAAGGTGGGCCTGAAAATCATTTGTAACTAGTGAAGACCTTTCAAAACTAGAATGATATGATCTGTGTGACCAGCCCCTGAACGTACTGAGCCAGTTGACATTTAAGGCTTAGCCCCATTTGGATAGCTTTGCAGTAGAAACTGGCACCTGTGCAAACTTTATGGGTAAAGGGGGAGAACTGGGCTGAAAAGTGAATTGTTTTGAATTCAATCTTCTTAGCAACGACTTAAACTTAAGAGAGTGCCTGAGCACTGGGTTACATTCTGTCGTACACACAACAATTGGTTCCTAATTAATAACTGTTGTATAGTGGTACCTCGGGTTACATACGCTTCAGGTTACAGACTCCGCTAACCCAGAAATAGTGCTTCAGGTTAAGAACTTTACTTCAGGATAAGAACAGAAATCGTGCTCCGGCGGAGCGGTGGCAGCAGGAGGCCCCATTAGCTAAAGTGGTGCTTCAGGTTAAGAACAGTTTCAGGTTAAGTACAGACCTCCGGAACAAATTAAGTACTTAACCCGAGGTACCACTGTACATAACTCTAATCTACTTATAATCCTTGTCACTTCTTTTCTCCCACTTTCCTCTTTTCCCTTCTTCACATTTTTCTTTTCTTTTGGCCAAAGTAATTGTCCTGTTAGCCATAGTTTTTGCAAAGTTCCATGTTACAGTTATAAAATGGGGGGGCGGCACCTTTTCTAATGGACAGTTCTCTCACTGCTTAAAGGATGCTTAAGAGATATGGAGGAAAAATATATGGATTTGGAACTATCACCTGCCTGTACCCCATTGCTAAAAAACCCGTGTATACCATCTTGAGAATGACTGGACTAGAACACAAACAGGAATGGAAAACATTACTAGATACCGTAGCTGAACACTGCATTTAGCTCCTTGGAGAAAGGAATACAAATGCAAGAAATAAATAATGATGCTGGGTTCAAGGATCTACAGATCTGCTACCCTCTGCTGTCAAGGAACTCTGGCAGAACACAGCAGCACCCAGATCTCCACCTGGTCTAGCTCCATTTAGGTACTAGAAGTGTCCACATATAGTCACTCCACTTTAGGTGTTTTTTTTTAATTTTTAATTTGCAAATTTAACAAAAAGAAATAAAAGAAAAATATTTAAAAAGAAAAACAGAATATAATAAAAAAGGAAATAAGAATATTTCCCACTTCCATAGGGAAGTGATTACAAAAAAAAAGAACCGAGGCAACAAAACTCCAGAAGTAAAATATCACCCTGAATATGCCCTTAGAGTGAACCCAGCAAGGCTTTTCCTGATGAAACGCTGCTTGTAGACTTCACGGGCTCCATAATGACCCTCCCATACAATGAAACTTTCTAGTGAATCAGATGGATAGCAAATTTATAAAGGATGCAAGATGGGGCTGCCATGCCATGTTCAAAACGTATACTCACCACCTTCCCACCTCCCCTGGTTTGGTGGTTTCTATTTTCTTTAGACAGAAATAAACTGGAACCCAAAATAATAGGAAGCAGACAAAAACAATGGAGTGTAGGAATGTGCACACTGCAAAATGCCCAGGCTCCTAGAGACATTTTGAACAGCTCCAGACCATTCCACAAGGGGAAATGAAGCAAACAATAGGTGGTTCTCATATTGGACCCCCTCACAAGTGATTCTAAAAATCAGCATTTGAATTTCCTATATGGACCAGGGTGGCGATGAAGCTTCCAGCATGGAAAACTTGTAAGGCTAAGCCTTCTCTTGACATGACATGTGAAAATTGTACGAGTAAATGTGTAGTGAAGCATCTTGAACCTTTTTAATATACATAGGATGATCTGGCAGAATTTCAAAATATGTTTTGCCCTTGACCAGCATTTCAAGACACACACAGGAACGTAGGACAGTTTCATCCCATTTCTTTTCATTCTATCATTTGGGTTCCCTTTTTGTTTCTGGTTTGTTTCAATTAGTTTTATTTATTTGTTCACCTTTTTCCATACATGCTAATTCGACCAGGCTAATGACTGGAAATCATTTAAATCACTTTAAAATGCAGCAGAACATCCACAACAGTGGCAACTGTTAAAACCACTTAAAACCTATGACACTAGGGCTGTGTACATACTTATACATTTAAAACACCCCTCCTCCTGCAAGAATCCTGGAAATCATAGCTTGTTAATGGTGCTGGGAACTGTAGCTCCGTGTGGGGCAAACTACAATCCCATTATGTATGGTGTGTGTACAGCCGCCAATAAAAGGGATATATCTGAACTTATAAAAGGCTTTGGCACCTGGTACCAAAAAGATTACAAAGTTGGCACCAGGCGAGCTTCTCTTGGGAGGGCCTTCCAAACAAGAGAGTGTAATCAAAAGAGGCCTATCTAAGGCCACCCCTTGCTTTACTAGGGTGCAGGGACTTGAGGTGGGGCCTCTGAAGATCATCTCAGAGTCTAAACAGATTCATATGTTAACAAACAATCTTTGCTATGCATGAGTTTTGGGTTATGTACCAGCTCTAAAAGTTAAGACAAGGACTCTGAACTGTGCCCAGAAATGGGCTAAAAAGCTGTTTCAAGACTAGCAGAGACAGAAATATGTTTGAATTCACCTTAGGAAAGAGATGAATGGAGGACTCTATACTTGATTTCCTTGCCCCTCTCAAAACTACAAAATGTTTTCTCTGTACAAAACAAACACAAAGTTCACTGTAATGACAGGTTACTGAAAATGCAATTATTAATAGTTAAAGGGATTGCTTCTGCTTTCTTTATTCAAGAATGACACTCATATGTAAAACATCAGTAATCGTATACAAAAACACACACACACACACACACACACACACACACACTTGTGCTCTTCTACTTTCTATATTGCAGAAGTATAGAAAGCAGACAGTAGTGACAGAGTAGAAGTCAAACAAGATATGACAGGACCATCATTCATGTATCTGCCCCATCTACATGTAAAATGGGACTGGGCTCAATACCAGTCCATGTGAGGCAGAAATAGAGAAATGTACTAGGAGCAACGGACTGAGGGGAGGGGAAGGAAGAAGATCCGGTGGCTTCTCCTATGTGTTTCTTTTGCTATTAAATGAAGATCTCCACCACCTCTTTAGATGCCGGACTTCTGAAAAGAAGCATGTGATTGTCCTGTTCCCTCTAGTTTTCCCCTCAAAGGAATCCCTAGGTAAGTCCCTCCCAGTAACAATCAAAGTGCCCAGAATGTGATTTGTTGCACATGAGATAAAGCCAGATGTTTGGTCTCAGAGAAAGAAAAGGGAGAAATAGGATACCTTTAACTCACTCAATTCATGTTAGCGGAAGTGTATTGAGTATTTGATTTTTAATACAACATTCACTGGGCAGAAAGGGGGGGGGATACCTAACTCTAAGATAAAAATTATTTATTGATACAAAGATTGGGTGCCATCACAACGATCTACCAATAAACTGTAAAATGTGACAGGTTTCAAGCGCAAAGTTGTGAAGAACCTCTGGGTTGTACCCTGCTTTATGCCCAGGATTCTGCCCAGGACTTACCCCAGTATCTGAACTTCACTCCTCCCTCAGAAAACCGTATCTGTATGAACCTGTCTCCTAATAAATCTCTCCAGAGGATTCAGGGGATTGCCATGCCCCTTGGACCTTATCATCATTTTGCGCAAACACATAACAGGGCAAGTAAGCTTTGAGGGACGTTTATCTGCCATTACATTCGTACATTGGTTTTCAAACAGCTTAGTTCTCAAATGTTTTGACTCCCGAACGCAGCAAACCCAGAAGTGGCTGTTGCGGTTTGCAAACTATTTTTTGAAGCCGAACATCAAATGGGGCTTCCACGGCTTCCAATTGGCTGCAGGAGCTTCTTGCAGCCAATTAGAAGCTGCGCTTTGGTTTCTGAACATTTTTAAAGCTGAAAGGACTTCCAGAATGGATTCCATTCAACTTCCAAGGTACGACTGTACTATACTTGCTCTCCTAATTTCTTTCTGAGGGACCCCAAGTCGGCATTAATTTCTTGTGAGCAAGTCACATCATAGCGCTGGAATCTCATACAATCCTATTTACCAGGGATAGCCTCAGTTTTCTGGCCTATGGCCCTAGTAAATAACTCATTTTTTAATCTTTTGTGAAGCCTTTAAAACATTTTTCTTTTTACATGTGATGTCCATTGGCCATGATGGCTGAGGCTGATGGGAGTTGTAGGCCAAAATATCTGAAGAGCACCAGGCGGGGGATGGCTGAGGTGCAGCTCTTAGCATCAGAGCTTTGGGAATTATATCTTCAAAGTTGGAGAGTTTATGTATTTTCTCTGCGTGTAAATGTGCATGCATTGACATTAAAGTGCAATGTAGTGCACAGCCAGCCATTCCTCACACCGGTGACTAAAGACCATTGTGTGTCTCTAGCATATTTAGAATTTAAAAAAGCAACCCAAACCTTCATCTTTAAAACAGTTCAGGCCAGGCTAATGCAGAGTAAATGGTTATAGGAGGCAGAGTAGAGCCCCCAGCAATGCACAGTGTGCATGTGTGCATGTGACCTTGGCAATGACACTAGGCACGAGAACAGCACTGTTACAGGCATGTTCATATTTTGATCTGTGAGATCCTGAACAATGCATCGTAAACAGTAATAAAAATGTTCCTCTTGCAACATGCCAGAGAATGACTTCTCTTAATCTTAGGACAATTAAGAGACACTGCTATCCCCACCTGAAACTTAACCACACACACACACACACACACACACACACACACACACACATATTCACAGAAAGGCCTAAGGATATATTGGTACAACAGGTGGCATTTGAGTTTGGATAATGAAGCAATCTTCACGCTCTAGCTTCTGGAGAGAGCTGGGCCCTCAGCCACAAGTCTGCTCTGTATTGATAGAAGACATTTTCCCGGTGAAAATCTTCAGAGCTGTCACAGTTTTGCCCCCTGTATTGTTTGGTGACATTGAGAAGTCCCTCTTCTGGCTTATACACAGATATTTCAGGAATTAAGGACTTGGAAGCTAGGGATAGGTTGGATGCAAACATGGCGTTTTCATACATGACAACCTCTGTGTGAGCCTGGGAAGAGGAGGAAGAACTAAAGAACCAAACAGAGAGGAAGAAAGACTGCTCTGGCCAGGAGAATCCCACCACTTATGTCAAATCACTAGAAATAGGCAATATTTGTAGAGACGTATACATAAGAATATAATAAAATCCTGCTGGATCAGGCCAATGGCCCATCAAGTCCAGCATCCTGTTGTCATAGTGGCCAGCCAGATTCTTGTGGCATTCTCCCTTCCTGTGGTTTCCAGCAACTGGCATTAAAAAGCACTGCTGTCTCTGATCATAGAGGAAGACTAGCCATCACGGCTAGTTGCCATCAATAGCTCTCTCCTCCATGAATTTGCCTAACCCTCTTTGAAAGCCATCTAGGTTGGTGGCCATCACTGCCTTGCTGTGGGAGCAAGTTTTGTATTTTAAATATTAACACTCCCTCTAGTTTCTCTGATTTCCAATTGTTCTAAGCTACAATGCTCTCAAAACTATAAGCATCGGACTCGACATATATGAACCATCCCACAAATAGGTTTCTCCTGGATCATACCTATTTGTCTGCATGTTGTTCGACAGAGTTCCACTTCAAGCGTAAATACTAATTTGGCAGCAGAACAGGAATATAGCTGTTTTATTTTTCAGTTTCAAAATATTTGTCCAGACATCGTAACAGTCATTTATGATTTTACTCTCATATTAAGCAAGCACCAAGTGCTACTTGAAACTGCAAATTATCTTATAAAGGGTAGGTGTCGTCTTTTTCATGCTTTGAATGACTCCACCAGGTAAATGCTGGCTAGCGCTCTCCTATCATCAGTAGCCTTGCAGCGGAGAGGGGACAGAGAAAAGAGGGGAAAACATAACAGCAGCCACTTCATGTGAGAGTTAAGCCCTTGGCTGCGAAACAGAGAGAAGGGAGAGGCAAAGAGAGGGGGCTGGGAGGAATAGCTTCAAGCAGTCGGCAGGTCACACACACAGAGTGTGCAACAGCAAACTCAGTTTACAAAGAGACATCTGTTCCATTACTTCGATGCATTGTGGCTAATTACATCCTGGCCCGTCTGTGAAATGACAGCCACTTATTCTCCAGTGAACCGTAAAATCTGTACATGTTCAATTTGGGGAGTGGGGAGCCAGAAGAGCATAGGGTAGCAGGGGAACTGGGGGGGAAGAGAAAGGGAAGGGGAAAAGCAAAGAGAGGGGCTCCAAGAAAACATCTGATGCTTCTCCTACCAGTTCAGTGCCAAAGAATCAGCAGCTGGTAAAAGAAAGAGAGCCACCTCTATGCAGAAAAGCCCTGACAAAGGACTGCCATTTTGAAGCAGGTCTCCAGTGTCAGCTTCAGCCTGAGACTTTTTGTTCTGTGCATCTTGAAATAGACACCAGCAGAATCTATGCCAAACATGCATTGATCTGCAGTAAGAGTCCTGCTGCTGTTTTCGTTTTGGCTTTAACCCCGCTCATTTTCAGTTGATTTAAGAGCAGTTAGCTTGCCTCCATGGACCTCTTTAGTGGGAGGAAAACACAGATAAGGAAGTTCACATGCACAGATTTTCCTCTCCCAAATTCTATTTTGTATTCCTTGTTTGAATCACAATTTACAGAGTTGGGTGCTCAATAATTCATACGAACCAGGAGTATACCTACTCTGCATATTTTTGCCCAGCCTGATTCACAACATCTGATCAGTGCACACAAGTCTTGGGGTTACTCTGTTAACTTACCCACTGATACCCAGCACTATTTACAAAAGACGTGGGGAACACTGGGGGAGGATGTGTGCCACAATACAGAGCGTTTTCCAAAGCCCTGTGAAACACGATGCCTCATTTCTTTGTTGGTATGCTTTCCTGCATTTCCAATACAGCAGAAAAGTGCTGAAGCAGCACTCTGGTGAGATGATGTTTATTTTTGAACCACTTAAAATGTACTAAGTGCTGCATGGTGGTCAAAAATAACTATCCCTTTCAAAGGGCTCAAAAGTCAAAGATCAGAAAGGAAAGAGGAAAAGGGAAATCTGAATAATATGGACCCATCTTCCCACTCTCCAGATGGACTACAATGCCCATCATCCAAGATGACACAGCCAATCATCAGGGATAAAGGGAACTGCAGTCCAGCAGCATCTGCAGGGCAACAGGTTGAGGAAGGCTGGGCTGGGCGATACTGGTTTGGTAAGACGCTTCCTAGGAGCACTATAGAACAACAAAACAAAACAAAAAGCTCTTGATTTGGGGATTTTTGACAGCAATAACACAATGCAATTGTCGTCAGGTCTCTTAAGCAATGTCTGCAATAAAGCACATGTGCAGACATTGTTTTCTGTTCTACTTCTGTGGCCACACTGTGTGGCAAGCAACTAATCAGTGCACTATGGGAAATCTTTCTTAGTTCTCCCCTGAATTATGGTCTTCAAGACGCTGAGATGCTTGAGAACCCAAAATTATATTATGTGTTTTCATGTTGCTTTGTTGCTGGTATAACAGAATATACCAGCAATGAGCTCAATAGCTACTTAGGATTTGAATCTTTGGATGCTTCCACACTAGATGTTCAGTGTGGAATTGCCATGCTTTGCTCACTCACTTTTAGCGAGGCATCCACATTACACCATCGTCCAGTTGCCACTGCGCATTTTCCATGTGGTTCCTTGCCTTTTCTCAGATTGCTGTAAATCCAACCCTTTTGAAAAATGAGCACAATCTCCATTGATGTAGATGCCTTTAGCATTACCCCTCCACCTATTTAAAAGCAGGGGGTGGAGGCGATTGGGCATGGGCAGTGATGCAGCATAAAAGCAAACCTAGCACAGCTCAGCACACATTTGCTTAACTTGGGCAGTGAGTGCTAGTTCATTACACAATTTATTTTTTAACTGACTCTTTAATCAGTAGTATTTTTGTAATATAGGTATACCACCATAATGTTAATTATTATTATTTTAAATCCTTTTCAGTCACTACCATTAGCCATGCTGTCCAAACTACAGTGGTTTTTAAAGATTTTTTTTAATTAAAAAAAAAAAGCATTCAAGTAGTTGCTGTTCTATTCTTTAAGAAGAAAAAAGTCAAATTTTGTGAACTCCTAAGAACAACAATTTGGTACCATCGCAGGAAGTTGCCTTATACTTGTCTATCTTGCTCAGTATTCTCCACTCTGACTGACTGGCAGCAGGCCTCCCAGGGCTTCAAGGAGGAAGTCTTTCCCATCAGATAGCACTATCAGATCCTTTTAAATGGAAGACACTGGTGCCTGAAGCTGGGGCTTTCTACAGGCAAAACATGTGCTCTATCACTACACTACAGACCCTCATTTTGATGGCCCCATAAAAAGTAAGCAAATTTTTAAAAGTGACAATTTCAGAGCACACACCATCGTGGACATTACAGCTTAAAGGCTATTATGTAACCACAGGTCTTAATTGCTGGGGGGGGGGAATGCCAGAAGATTTGCTGTCAGCTACTGGCACACATATTTCATAACAGCAGCATTGGCAAAGGTTTGCATAGCCTCTGTGTCCTCAAATGCCACCCAAAACAGCCTTAGTGGCTTCTTGGAAGCAGGGAGCTTGCCAACAAGTCTTACAGCATTCTTGAAAACAAGACTCGAGGGTACACGGCTGTGCTCTGCTGGTTGCATATGCTAGCTACAAGCTGAAAGCATAACTAGCAACATGCTTTTCCGGGGGGAGGAAGGGGGACAGAAAGGGGTGAAGAGGAATTTTGAAGCCAGTTGCAGCAAAGTCACTGGGCAAGGCAGTACTGCTAACACCACCAAATGGTGCTCCAGCCCAAGCAAGTATCCTATTTCCTTACAATTACAGTTCCTGATAATAAAAAAAAGTCAGAACCTCAGCACACAGAATGCAATTCAGTGGAACATCAGTACCACAAAAGCTCCAAAGTCTCACTAGTCAGCTGACCCTTGCAGCCTTGCTCACTCCATGATTTGCTGCTACCAACAACTTAAGTAAATGGGTCGATGAGAAGCACATAAATGATGACTGGGAGATTTCAAAGTGGATAATATCAAATATCTGATGGAGCAATTGGGTGAACTCTTAACACAGCTCATAGTCCTATTAACAGTCCTCTAAGCCCAATATTTTACTTGCAATCTTTACATTGCACAGACCACTGTTAAAGCAAGCAGCTTTCAGTTCTTCCATCCCCACCTCTTAAATAGGTCTGATGTCATCCATTTGCCTGATAACACCATTTTCTCACCATCCTTTTTGACTCTAGGAGTGCTTCCAGACAGTAGCTTAATACTCCAAAGGTGTGTTGAGATATCAAAATATCAATAAAACTTAACAAAATGAATTTCAACTGGGACAAATGTTGGGTCCTACACATAGGCAGGAAGAACCAGCTGCAGAAATATAAGATGGGGGACATCTAGCTTGCTAGTAGTACATGTGAAAAGAATCTAGGGGCAGTGGCGGAGGAACAGGGGTGCGGGGGGAGCGCACCGCCACCGGAGGCACGATCCCAGTGGGGTGCCATCATGGTTGCCCCCCCCTGCGCTGGGTGCAACACTCCCGCAGGTGGCGCGCCACGCCACCCAGGACGCGCGCCAGCCCTGCCCCACCTGCTCTCTGCCCCACTGCCGGAGCTTGAAGCTCCGCCACTGTCTAGAGGGCTTAGTAAACCACAAGCTTAACATGAGTCAACAGTGTGATGCAGCAGCAGCAAAGGGCTAATGCTATTCTACGCTGCATCAACAGAAGTCTTGTGTCCTGATCAAGGGAAGTAAAAGTCCCGCTTTGTTCTGTCTTGGCCAGGCCACACCTAGAGCACTGTGTCACTACAATTTTAAAAGGCTATTGACAAGCTGGAGACAACCAATATGATCAAGGGTCTGGAAACCAAGCCTTGGGAGGAACGGCTGAGGGAATTGGGAATGTTTAGCCTGGCAAAGAGGAGACTGAGATGTCCATTTTCAAATACCTAAAGGGCTGTCCCATGGAGGATGGCGCACTAGGGCGTGCCATTTTAGGGGTGATTGCTTACATCATGTTTTTAGTTTGCAATTCAGTGCTGGCCTGTTTCTTAAGTTGCTTTTTTCTATATAGGGATTCATCTGTGCGTACGTATTTTGGCCGGCTCCAGTTAGTGTGCCAATAATGGAAACATCACTCACATTATCCCTGATATAATATAATACACATGCTCATTCGTCCACAAAAAATATTTCCCAGAGTGAAATGCAACGTGGCCCAATCTCAGTTCAGTTGCTGAAATGGTTCTGTGAAGGAGGCTGCTCACACATTACATCAAGCTATCGTTCCTTAGAAGCAAAGGATATTAGCAGCTCCTTTTTCTAGAAACCACTGGGCTGAATTTACTGAGGCCTTCAGTAAGCGCCCTGGTCCCTTAATATCAGCCCTCCCAACTGGCTGCAATTAGCAGAGCTTGCTCTGGAAAAGCCAAATTAATTAGCTGGCATAGAGAGCTAATCGCCTGTCCACCCATACAAAAGAGATGATCCTTACAGGAGGAAGGGTCGGTGGCAGAAATCACTCTGGAGACAGTCTCTGTGTGCTCTAAGTGCCAGCCTATGAATAAATCTGTCATCAAATCCCTGCCTTGCAACATTAGGAAACACAAATACTCAAATATGCATGTATACTCAAATATATAAACTTTCTCCTTGCCAAATACCAGGTTTGAAATAGATCATTCTCTGCCATTGTTCCCGTTAACTCCTCCATGGCCAAAAACTAACCTTGCTCTGCTGGAGAGTGCATTTTGTTGTTCCCACAGTACATTATTTGTTGAAATAAATATGGAAATAAGGCTGAGCAAGACAGCCAGACTGAAATAAATTCATCACTCACAGGCTCTCAAGGGAAGAAAACTGTGCATTTCCCCCCCTAAATGATTATTTCTAAAGCACTGAAGGAATGGCTATATCACTAATGAGGCCAGGGCTCCATGACTGCTGATTATAAATGACCTAAAAAGAGACAGAGAGGGAGGGGGGGAGGGGGGAGGTGTATGTGTATGGATAACAAGGGGAAGGAGAAGAACCAATTGTTCACCCTCATGATCTAGTAAGATCCTGCCTGATTCCTTAGCAGGATGAGGGTGATTGTGGTTCATCGCAAACGCTGAGCAGTACCAAAGGATGGAGTGCAAGCACTGCCTTAGAAAGGGATAAAAACAAACCATCACACACAAACATTTGTAGTACAGGCAACTCCCCATTTGTGCACATTTGAGGCACGCACAGCCACAGACTCGCATGCAGTTTTTGATACCAGAAGGGGGTGGGATAAGGCAGGGTGGGCTTACACACATCCTGCTGATGCATGTGGTGCCTTGGAATGCAACCCCCCACAGAAATGGGGAGTTGCCTGTACTCATCTCCAAAATATACAGTGGTACCTCGGGTTACATACGCTTCAGGTTACAGACTCCGCTAACCCAGAAATAGTACCTCAGGTTAAGAACTTTGCTTCAGGATGAGAACAGAAATCGTTCTCTAGCAGCATGGTGGCAGCGGGAGGCCCCATTAGCTAAAGTGGTGCTTCAGGTTAAGAACGGACCTCCAGAACAAATTAAGTACTTAACCCGAGGTACCACTGTATCCACTTTAGGAATTGCCTTGCAATACTGTACATATAGGAAGATCCATTCTATGGGATGGGCATTGGAAGCTGTTTAAGATGCCACTGAAATCAACTGGGGTGGGGGAGGAAAAAGGGTTGGAGGCGAAGCGGAGGTCACCTCACTTATTCCTAAGAACCTTCATGTAGCTTCCTTCACTCACAAATTCCCATGGAAACAGAAATCCGCTGCAAATTACTAAACCCTGCTTGTAAAAATAATTCACCACATTCTCTGTTTACTCCAAGCTGCACTGCACAGATCTGTTTACTTGCAAAGTAGAATTTCTACTTGAACAGGACAGGAAAAAATGGGAAAAAGCAAGCAACGGGGAGCCGTGAGTGTGATAGGAGACTAGCAAACAGCGGTTAAGAGAACAAACAGAAACTTTGTCAAACAGCCGACAAGGCAGCATTTTCACATGCTGCTGTTAAGACAGCTTCACTTGTGAGCAGGGCATCTACCACCAATGCAGGATTCTCAGCATCAATGCAAACTGATTTAAGCATCACTTGTGAACGGTGGCCTTTGTTCCCCCAAGGAACTTCCCATCACAATTAACTAAGGCTGGAGCTGTACCCAACATTAAAAGTGTGTTTGCTGCCAAGAGTGGCAACTCTGCATGTAATTATAATCTCTGTAACATTTGGAACAAATTAGTCTTGCTCTGATGTCAAAGCATTGGATATTTCCCTACCCTACACTCATCTTATCAATAGTCACCAATGGGTGGGGATTGGGTAGGGCAGGCTGGCAACTGAAACAGACAATACTATGACACTGCATCACATATTAAGCTTCCCTGTGCATTATATAGGTGTAGGGGTGTTAAAAATGGTTGCTCTTTTCAGTGGCAGCCTCAAGGAATGTGCTAGGTCCCAAATCACCACACCCTACAGAAGGTTTGACATTAAAAAGCAATGCAACAAGAACAAAAAGCTTCAGTGTTGAGATAGTGGCATTATAATTCACAGTCTTGCAGTACAAGTGGGGAACTTCAACAAACACAGTGTGGAGTGGTGCTGCCTCTGGCTGGAGCCCTGCCCTCTTCCGGGATACTCCATTCACCCTTGTTTTCTGCCTCCACTTTCAGCAGTTAATCAGAATTCTGTGGCCACTGGGTATGCTCACTTCCCACTGGGATGTTTTCAGGCAGGCTCTCCCCTGATACTTTTCCTCCCTTAAGACTTCTATTTTGTACAAAGTTTCCCCAAGCCGACTGACACCTCCTTTTTGTGCATGAACGGTGCTGTTCTGAGTAGAAAAGGACCAACACTTGGAACATCATGATTGCTATTAGTATACAGAAGTGGGATCTGCAAAACAATATTGCTCTGGCTTTGTATTTCAACCAGCCAGCCATGTCTTTCTTCAAAATATTCCATTCCATTCCATTCCGTTCACCAACCCATGTGGTATTCTGTTCCTCCTCCTCCAGTCTGCATTCTATAGCACTGAACATGCTCATTGGTCTGCTTTCTGGAATGTTTGCCTATTTACATTCCCCCTCTAAATATTTGTCCTAATTCTGTAAATTCTGGGGCTTCCCCATGCCTGCTAATACCTTGCTTTTGTGCATGGATGGTGCTGTTTTGGCTACATAACCAATGGCACTCACCACCAAACATCAGAAATGGAGTGAACAATAGCAATGTGCTTGTAACAGCAAGAGGTTTGGTGAAGGTGAGGGTCTCCATTAGACAAAAAACACAAGGCCATTCAGTTATGATGAAGATGTAGTCATGAAATTTTTATTATTTTGTGTTTTATGTATTTATTTATAAGAATGTTTATACGCCTCCATTCTGGTTCTAAAATTAAAACTACCCTATGCATCTAACAGTGTAAAACAAAAATGAAATAAATCTAAACTAAAGTTTAAAACACATAACAGCAGATATGCAACCAAACACTTTTTTTAAAAAAAGGGAATCAGAACAATGGGCTGATGACAAAACAAAACAAAACAAAACATTTCCAAAAGCCAAATAGCCAAGCAAATCTTCTGGGCCGGAGAGTTCTAAAATTTGGATGCTGCGATTGAGAAGCAGCCCCATCAGTCATGCCTCAGATGGGGTGGAACAGGAGTTGTCAACCTGGTCCCTACCACCCACTAGTGGGCGTTTCGGGGTTCTAGGTGGGCGGTAGAGGGTTCTACGGCACAAGCTGAATCCCATCGAGCACTGGTGGGCTTGATTTTACCATCAAGAAAGATGCATTAGTGGGCGGTAGGTATAAAAAGGTTGACTATGCCTGGGATGGAACATGCAAGAGGACCTCGTCTGCTGACTTTAGTGGATGGATGCAATTATATGAGAGGAGACATCCTTTCAAGTGTCTTGGTCCCAAGCCATTTATGGCTTTAAAGGTAATAGTCAGTTTAAATGATATAAAAAAGGAATCACATACTCCCTAACCTGGCACTGGTCAAAATCCTTGTTGCAGTGTTTTGCATTAGATTTTCAATTAAATATGGATTTTCAATTTGAACCTCTCAATTTCATGTGCTTTAAAGGGGGTGGGGTATGAGCGTAGGCTTGCACAGAAACAGACAAAGGCTCTGTGACATATTTTAGATGGATTACAGTCATGCATCAGCGCAAGTGGTTCCCTAATGCTCATTGAAGACTGTCCCCTCTCTCTGCCCTATTGAATCTAGCCATATCCTCTCTAAACAACCTCGTGGGATTCCAAAAAGGCAGTTTCTTGTCTGTCAAACCTGCTCCACTTGTCATCTGATTTATGGTTACAGAATGGTAAACAAAAAGACCTAAGGCTCAGTGACAGGGTTCTTAATTCAGCGCATGTTGCATTTCAGTTTATTGTATGCTCAATTTCAGTTAATCAGATCAGCTGCTAACAAAAATGGTAACTGTAATCTCAGTTATGGGTTCTGGATTATATCTGCCAAATCATTAGAGAGGTGATTGCTGGTGAGTTTGTATCCTTCACAATCTCCTACCAGGACCAGTTAAACAGTGGTAGTGATATCCACAGATATTCATGGGGAACACTGAATTAATTAAAGGAGTATTTTTAAAAAAAAAACCAGACAAAATGGGAGACAGGATCTCTTGCTTTAATAAAAATATTAATATATTTCTAGGAAAGATTGCATAAAGTTAAAAGAGTGGTAAATTTTTGATAGAGACAAATTACCCACAATGAAGACATAATTTATTATCCATCATTACATGACAGTTTTAAAAATCAACCGCAAAAAATCTATTTGTAGTACTGCGTTTCAAAATAATTGCTAGAGGAGAATGGAAATTTCTCCTTCACTCTATTTGAAAGGGGGGGGGGGAGCACTTTCATTTTTTAAGAAAATGTCCAAATAGCTAAATTTTTTTATCTGCTATACTAGAAATATACTCCTGATTTAGTTAAGCCTTGCCAAAAGATGCAGTTTTGTTATTTTATTTTTAATACTCCGACCAATTGATGGTCTTTGGGGCAAGTTATATTCAGCCAACATTTCTGACAGTGATGTAATTTGGACGCAATCCTGCCAAATCAAACTGGTTTTTTTTAAAAAAAAAAAATTATGATTGTTAAACCCAGGAAAACATTGTGCCATGTCCTATAGCCACCACCACACCTTTAGGACTATTCATGCTTCTCTGTAATTATGCTATATAAATGGTACCTCTGAACAATATCGAATTTGGTGTTGAAGGTTATTATCTCAGCCCTGATTGTTTTGGGAAGCAACTGGTGCCCCAATTCAGCAAGCATTACCAAGACATAGAAGCAGGCACACGATCAGATATGGATGCACACCTGAATTTGTAATGATAATGTGCAACTGGACATGAAGCATCCAATGCACCCCAGCTTGCTCTGTGGCATCAGGATGTGCATTCACATCCACCTCGCAATACAGATAGGAATGTGCATTACCATCGTCACTCCTTTGGGCTAAGAATCATGTGTGAATGATTCTGACTGGATCAGGGCTTGGAAATCTACTTCCAAAACAGCCAAGGCAGAAGAGGAAGGTATGGGAATGTGCTGTTATTGCCACCCTGCTGACACACACACACAAACAAGCATATCAGAGAAGGAAAACAGAAGGGAAAATAAGATTATTATTATTTTTAAATCAGCCAATATATCTGAGTTGGGTTTTCTTTTTCCTTTAACAATTGCCATTCTCCGGCGCTACGGTGAAATGGAAATGTTACAGCGAGCTAACTAGGTATCAAAAGCACCTCGGTGACTCATTCTGACACCCTGGTCTGTCTCAATAGCTTTTCAGGGGGACAGAGATATAAAAGACGTGTGGCCGGGGTAGAGGCAGGGTGGGGGCTGTGAGGGAACGAGAGGTTGAAATTGGTGCACTCAGCTATGTCAATTCCCCTCCTCCTAGCTTAGAGCAGTGAGCATCAAGACCAGATGCTCTATCGGTATCATTTCTGAAGTACTCTAATGAATCTGACCCCAGGCTGCAGCTTTAAAAGAGTGCAGTGGCGTGTCAATGTAAACAGCTAAAACTAGTGTCGTGTCAAGTGGTAACAAGGCCACTGCCATTTTTACAAGCACTGTGCACTTAGCAGATAAAAGAGAGCAACCTATCACTGCTCTTCCACAAGCCTCCACTTATCAACAACAAGAAA